GGGACTCATAGATGATTCCTGTGAATCTCTTCCAAATCAGGATAGTCTGTGATTCTATGAACTCATTTAACTCAAAAGAAGACGTGTTTGCATTTACTTCAAGACTAGGGCTGTTTTGGGAATATGGGAATGTTTTTTGAATTCTGATTTATAACCTTGCATTATTCTTCCTTAAACTGAAGCCACTGCCACTGTCCAGCAACTGATTTGGCTTCACTGGGTTCTACTCCTGCTATGTGCTTTATATCAAGCTATGTCCACCTTCTTTGTTTAGGTATTGAAGACTATAGCTATGCACACAGTGTCTTCTGCATCCTTCTGGAGATTACAAATTTGTCTTCTGACATTTAACATTAGTGATAATTTTAATGCAGGAGCAGAAATGCACTTGGAAACTGTCCAATAAAGCTTTTGTTAAGGATTTCCAATATCATAAAAAAAAGAAGAGAAAAGCAAAAGCTGCCTAGCAGACTTACTAATTTTTGAATAATAAAAATTAATTGGCAAAATGGGATTTAGAATTTCAACTTTTATAAAGGTATTATGACAGGTGAATTAAAGCTGTATTTTATTTATTATTTGCTTGTGCACCTCTGAAAAATATTCTGGCTACGCTTGTCAGGCATTTTTGTAAACTGTCTTAAGCCTAACACTTGCATATTAGATATCTGCCTCTGCTGCCAAGTGACACTGCTATCCCTGTACCTCATGGCCACTTTTCTCCCTGGGCAGCAATGCTGCCAAAGGCATAGCAGTGTGCTGTCCAACAGCATCAACTGGTCAAATAACAGCAAGAGCACTTAGAATCGGAAAATCCCAACATTGCCCTTGGTGCTGATCAGATCCTCAATTTAAAAAACCCAAAAAATTATGCAATAATTGTCAATAACTTCTCTTAATTGTGATTCTTCAAAAATAACAGACTGAGGATTGCCAGGAAATAACACTGTCCTAATGTCAGGTCTCCCCAGAAGTTAGTTTTGGACCAGTTTCTTAAAAGAGAATTTTTTAAATCTTTTACCATAATTAAGCAAATAATTAAATTTAGACATTATTAGAGAAAGACTACCACTACATCCTTGAGAATGAATACTTGTATTTGTAAAAAACAAATATATGCTTGAAGCATTTCTCTTGTACCTTAGAAAGAAATCTGTTCAGTTTGAACCTTTTATTATCTAAAATTAAGTTCTCTATAATTCTTTGCTGAGGTACCAGGAAAGCAGCTATTCAATAACTGTCATTACTGTGGGATGCAGGGACATGATGGAGAGCTGCTGCAAATTAAACCAGACCCAATAACTCCTATCAGCCAAAGCTTACCACATGAGCTACTTTTTCCCAATCCCTACCTCCTCCTTTTACTCTTAATGAATTCACAATTAATTTAAAAAGGCACCAGACAAAGAGAAAGAAACAAACAAATTTTAAAAAACCCACTATGCAAAGAAGAATTTAAGAATATTTCACTCATCTGTTTTCTCCAACACTTCCAATACCAGGGAAACAATTTTACTAAGAGGCACAAGGAACTAGTTGAAGCAAATACATGGAATCTGAACAATTTCAGCTCTGCAGGAATTTCAGGCAAACATCACTAAGGCCACATCTACAGTTGGAGTTCCCCACATCTCTTGTAAATTCCTCCATTAACAGTATGGCTCTTCAGCACACTGGGTACAGCATGCATGTACCTGAGGCTTCACTTCAGCAAAAACTCCTCACTGGGCCTTCAAACATGTTGCAGCAAATTAATTTAATCTTAAATTCAGCATCTGAGTTCTCAAAAGAACAGAGGTGGGTTGTGTTCAAATCTTTTATAGTACAAGCTGTGTTGCTGCCACTTGGAAAAAGAAAACCCTACAAAATCAGCTAGCCAATGAGCCACACTATATTAAGATCCATTTGAAGAACAATTAATTAGCAAGACACCAGTAGGATGTTACAGATTTTTACTTCCTCTATGGTCAGCCAATAATTAAATATTGATCAGTTTTACAGAAACCAGATCATATTTGTGCATCTGAACTCGTCCTGTGCTTTCAGAAGAGATAAAACAGTTGAATTTTGAACCTCTTTACCATACTCTTGAATCTCTTTATCACAGTCCTCAACTTGACATCTGTATAAGAAAAAGCCTAAAACAAACCAAAAACCACAACACCAAACCCCACAACTTTGCTACAGTGTTGAGATCCGGAAACAAACTGTTTCTATATTTGAGAATCTTTTTACATAATTTGATACAAATTGGCTTCAGAAGATGTTTTTTAACTCATCAAACTGGATATGGATTAGTAAGTGTTGCACATGATTAAGTTAGGATATTCACTTCTACAAAAAGTCAGTATAAAATACCTACAGTGGCCTACAAGGTCTTACTGTAAGTAATGAACAAAATGTGCTGGCCCAATTTCATCCCTGCTTCAACAGAAATCAATTTAAGAAATCATTTCAATGAAGCAAAACTCAATCCCCTCCACAATACTGAAAGAGTACATGTGAAATTTCAAAATCTGTTCATGTGTACCTTGACTTGCACTCACTAGATACTCTATACCCCTCTTCTGCCTAGCCTGTCATTGTACAGCATCAAGTCTGTGATTACATACTTTTAAATTCAGTGCCTCCATGAATGCTCACTCCCTGGATTTTGATTTTCTTTGTAAGTTTCAAGTAACATGATTATCTCAGAGGGAGCTGTAATGAAATGTTATGCAAACTTTGTGAGGTGGATGGAGGATATGAATATCTTCATTATTGGCCATAAGCGATGGTATGCCAATGAGTATCCCATTCAAAATGAAGCATCTCAAAGTAATTGGTTTGTCTCCTGGAGTGGAAGAGTGGAGTGTAGGAAATAACTTCTCTTGCAAGAGAACACTCAAAACTCTCAAAATTTCATCTGAATACAAAAAATAACAACCTTGCTCTAAAACTGTATAAGCAAAATAGAATTTATAATTAAATAGACATTTCATTTATATTCATGCAATAGCCTATCTGTTAAACACTCATGAGTAATGCAGTTGCCTTAAACCATAAAAAAAGTATTTTCATGTATCTACCATTAGCATATCAGTGTACTTTGGGGTAGCCAAAATAAATGTAAATTAAATAAATATTTTATTGGAAGCAAGGGATATCAATGCTCCAATTTGTTTCACTTTGCATTGTTTAAATAGGCTGTGGGAGTAAAAATAACTGGATCAATGAGAGGGAAACCCCCAGAAGAACATGCATTACAGATTACAGAGAAAGCTTTTCACACAAATGCTGCAGGGATATTGAAGACTACTCTTGTGACAAAATACTGACTTAATAAAAATAATAATAACCCCCAGGAACAACAACAACCAAAAAAAAAAAAAAAAAAGGCAACAAAACCACACACAAAATAAAGGTTTTGCACTTTCAATCTTCAGGCAAGTTAAAGGCTATTTTCTTTCTTCCTGCTAATATTGTGGTAAGGTTTAATATAAAGGTATCTGACCATTCAGCTACCAGATATCAAACTGTTGACAGATTAATCCACCCTGCAATTAATAATTATTCATTTGATCACAGATATCAACATGTTAAAATCTGTTACAAAAGACACAGCTCAGATTTCTGTGCTTTCGATGTTTTAGTTGTACAAAGATAAGGCACTGACCTTTATTCTTGATTGACAATGGGAGAATACTTCAACTACAAGCTTACTACTGAAGCCTTGTCAGTGTGAAGAATCACAAAATTGTGTTAAAAGGCAGACAGAATTCAGTACCTTCCTCAACATTTGAAATGTGATCTTTCCAAAAGACCATCAGTTCTTGTCATTTCCCCGGAAGTATAAACAAGTCAAGTTTGAGATTTCACTAAGAGGGATAAAATACTCTCTGCAGGTTAGGGGGAAGAGAGGGTTACAGTCTATGAACTACTTGGTAAAGGACCTTCTTTCAGGTTTCCTCTACAAAGGACTCTACTATGCCATCTAGGATTTTCATGTAATAAAGACAATTTATCCTTCTTATCAGACCATTTCTATTCAAAGAGACTTGAGGTGGCTGTACCAGAAGAAATATTTTCCTGTACCTCTTGAAGTCAATGTGACTGTGATTGCAAATTACTCACTAATGTAAAGAACAGCAGACTGTTGCATTATGCAAGCCCATCCACATTCTTTTGCATCCCTGTAAATGCAGCTACTTCCCTGTCTTGATTGTACTGTACACTCTAACAATGGGTTTCACCTAATAAGCTATTCAGGAAACTTACATAGCATGCAGGTCATCTCAATCCATTTCCTTGCTGTTACAAGTAACATGAAGAATGCTTTCAAACATCATCTGAGACAGGAACACTTTGAAGCACCTTAAATTCTCATAAAATATTCACTAGAGCTATCCACAATATCAGTCTTATTGTGGCCTCAAACACAGTTAAGTCATGTACTACTGCTGCAGCAAGAAAAGTCTTGAAGGAAATCTCTACCCCACATAGGTAGAGCATGTTCAAAGTCCCATGCATGGAGAAGGAAAAGATGGGGGAGGGGGAGGATGAAAATCACATCTAAAATTAAAAACAAAACAAACAAACAAAAACCCAACCACCAGTTCTTTTAGCTATTCTAGAACTGCATTATAATCACCGTGAGATAAATGTTCTAACCTCCATCTGCACCATCCCAATCTTTTTCCTCCCACATCAGTGCTGAATTTGCTGGAGTAGAAGAAGGAATCATCCAAGAATGTTAAAAAATATTTCCAGTTAGAAGGATACTTGTAAGTAGCTTGGAACAGTACTGACATCCCATTTATCCCAGATCTGACCACTATGGGACCTCTAAATAGCTCCTTTCTCTATCATTTGGGAAATGCCATGCCCAACTACTGGAGCAACACTTTTCTTCTGGAGTCCCAGCTGACAGATAGCCTAACAGAGTACATAGACAGAGGTCCAGAAATAAAAATAATAATAAAAAAATCTTAAAAAGTGGGGGGATAAAGAAGCTGGCTTACGTGCTCCAGTTTGTCTTTCCTCCTCAGCCAGACACTGGCACTGTAGTCCTGCTGCTTGACAGTGCTGTAGAAGTTCGCACCTACTCTGGTGAGGCTTGGGGAAGGCTCCCTGGGTCTGCTCTTCAGCCTCATCTGCTCGAAGCCCTCATGGGGGGATGAGGAGAGCCAGTCATGCCTGACTTCCATCTTGACATGACAAGGCAAAGTCCAAGGGGAAAAAATCAGAAGAAATCAAGAAATTAAGAGGTACTAAACGAAGATGGTCCAAAAAGGGACAGAATGGGAGAAGAAGAAAGAGAAGGAAATCAAAAAAACCCTTAAAACCAGAAAATGGTAAGAGAAGGGGGAGACAAGCAGAGATAAGGTAGGAGTGGAGGGAGAAAGAAAGGAAGGCTGCAGGTACGAGAGAGGAGCGGGCTGGGGAGAGATGAAGGGGCACTCGGGAAAGAAGACGCTCCAAGATGCCGCTGCTTGTTGCCCTGGCCGCCAGGAAGCTGCAGTCCAGGACCGACGCAGCGGGAAGCGGCAGCCTGCGGCTCTGCCCGGGACGGAGGCGAGGGGCGGCGCGGCCCCGGCAGCCGAGGCCGGGCGGGGCTGCCGCCTCCAGCCCGCCTGCAGGTTGGCGCAGTGGAGGGGCCGCCGCCCGCCTGGGGATGAGCCCGGCTCCTCCCCCGCCTCCCCTCCCCGCAGCCACCTTCGGGGGAGCAGCCAGCGGCACGGGAGAGCCCCTTCCTTTTGACAGGAGCTGCCGCCGCCCTCCTGGGGCCCCCCGTACCCCTGGGGAAGTTGTCTCGTCTGCTCTCCCCTCGTCCCGGCGGCACCGACCCGCCCGCAGCCCGCCGAGGGCTGGGCGGCCGCTTGCCACTCCCTCTCCTGGAAGCCTTTGTCCGATCTCCCCACGGCGGAGCTCCCGGGGCCGCCGCCCGCTGCCCTGCCCAGCCCATCCCGGGGTGGGCTGTGCCCCTCACGCCGCCCGGCCCCGCCGCGGCCAGCGGGGGATGCGGGGCTGCGGCCGCCGGGGCCACCGCCGGGCCTCTCCCGCAGCACCTCGCCGTCACCGCGTCCCCTCCCTCCCTGGGCAGGGGCTCACGGTTCTCTCGGGCGTAACCAGACCGAGCTGCCGGCCCTTTCGCCGGGGCAGCCAGGAGCGCACTTCGCCTGACCAGAAGGAGAAAGCCCTGGCTCGGCTCCGGTCCGGGTCCGAGTCCCGCTTGGAAGCCCCCGCCGCCGCAGCGGCTCAGCCGGCACCAGACCTCAGGAATCGAACCTCTTCTGTGGTCCCGATGGACAGGGTCGCTGGGATGCCCACATTCGTAGATCCCTGGCATCTAGGATTTCTCTCATAAAATAAAAAGACCTTCTAGGGTGGTTTCTATAGTCCGCTGCCACCTCTTTTAGTAGAAGTTGATGTGTGTTGCTATTTAGCTCAAACGTGTTTCAGCAGAAAAAAGGACTTTCCTTTTTCACACTATGAAAAGCCACCTCGCTAACTGCCCACACACTCTGTAAAGCTATATTAGGTATAGACAAGAAAACTTTCTCACACTGCGTATCAAGAAATATTTACTGGAGCTCAGAACAACATTTCAGTTTCCTGGTCAATATTTGTCATGGGGCAAGTGTTTGCATATATTCCAGTCTTTTGGAAATAAGTGACTCTGAGTATGTATGACTGATACATCAGCATCTGCAGATTTTTTTTTTCCCCCTGCTACACAACTACACTGATGTCGCTATTCTGATAAAGGGATGCTGAACTAGAGGTCTACACTCGAATGCAGTTAACTGATAATAGCTTTTGAATGGTAAAGAAGTTCAACCAGACAAATTTCTGCGAAAATTACAGAGGAGCCCTCTGCTAATCACTTGATCTACAGAGTGCTACTTCCATCTGATGAAAAAGTAAATTTAAAATATCCTTATGATTAGATTTAAGGTTTATTACTGTAAAATAACAACCAGAAACCAGACAGATAATTAATTTTTTTCCTGTCAAGATTCTAAAGATAAGGCAAAACTCACATCACAACTCATAATTGAGGATTATTTATAATAGATAATAGTAGTATATTTGTGAAATACTGGAAAAATAAACTCAACAGTAGCAGAGGTTTGATAGGAACATAAATTACAGCATCTTCCTCTAAAACTAGAAACACAATTTCAAAATCCTTACCTAAATAATACTACAAAAATGAATGTAACAAAATGCTAACAACCAGAACCATCAATATTATATACTTTTCACTCACCAGTATAAAGGACTTGTAGTTTTCTTTCTATTAACTTTCTAGTTTCTTCAGTTAGGAAATGTAGGTATTTCCAGGATTGTCAATACAGCCTCAAAACACCTGGATCAAGAAAGAGACCTATGTGATCCTGCTGCATGCAGGACACACTGGAAGGCACTGAGATTTAATGTATGGCACATCTCAGCTGCAGCAGTTTTAAGCTCACGCAGAATAACTTGATTAGAGATCTGCTGAACTGAACTTGAGCTGCAGATGCCCATTTAGGAATTCTGTATGCTCATACATGCACCTATTCCCAAAGGACTGGAATAAATGCATACATTCAGTCAGAAGAAAGGAAAAGAAGGGAAAACAAAAGATCCTCTTTGTTTCTTCAAATATATAATATCCCAACAGGTGTACGTATACATACATGTATATACAGCGTTCTTAGAAAACTGCATGTGCAATAAATCAGGAGAGCCTGCTTTATGCTGCTTTTGGGTAAGAATTTTCACATTGTTTCTCTAGCAGTACATGAAGCACTTCAACCTTTTCTTCATCCTTCTGATCTTTCTTAGTTTTGCTCCTTGCAAATATTCATAAAGAAGTTGTTAATGTCGCTTTGAAGTTGCCACCTGCTTTGCCCCCCATCCCTTAATACTGTAACAGAATCAATGTGCCACTGTACTTGAGTACAAGGCATTGTCTTATTCCCCCATATGTACTGCATTAAGGCTTTTTAGTTAGCTATTGGGTAGGGTTAATTTATCCTACCTTCCCTAGCTGCACTACCAGCAGACCTTCTCAACTGCCAGAGGAACGTCTTTCTGCCTATCCAGGACAGCCAGATAATGGAGTTCTAAAGTTGCTTTTAGTCTCTAGGCTATAAAGAGAGAGTTTGCTCCTCTTTCCAAACACCCTCTTTGACATGTAGGTGTGCTGCTTTCTACTACTACTACTGCCAACATTATTATTATCTCAGTCCTACTCTCACTAGGAATAAGAGAGAAAAGGCAAAAAAAGAAGCCTGGAAAAAGTCTGTTAAAATCGTGCGAACAAGCTATGCTTGCTAAGCCTTTCTTGCTTGCTGACCCCAAGCAGAAAAGATTTCTAGTGGGAAAACATAATCTAATGACTGTAAATTATTGTGTTTTCATAAAAATTTTACTCAGGCAAAGTAATAAGCTAAGAATACAATGTCAGTCCCTAGTGAATACATGGTCATTAATCTAATTTGAAAAGAGTAAAGAACTGTTTTCCAGATTTCGCATTCCAGTTTATTTCCAGGTTAGATCTATGCAATCCCCCCCCCCAGTTTTGTTCAAACAACCACAAGCATATCAACCAACTTAATTCAAAGATAATTCAACTCATTAAAATTCAATCAGTTCTGTAGTAGATAAGCAATTCCAATTGGCTGTATGAGCTGGATTAAACTGCTGTCTTTCTCTTCCACGCAATTTTCAGAATTATCCAAACACCTGCTCCTGTCAAGGCCCTTTGCTTCCATGCCCAGATGACTACAGCAGCAAGGATGACTGAAATTACAAACATCACACTTATATAATTAGCAATAGATGCAAGTCATGCGTATCATTCATTATATGATTTTACCTTACCATGGTTCAGGCTACAGTTTTCTTCAATTCGCTGCCCATCTTATCAAGATTCAGAGGAACTCATTTAAAGCAATCTACAGAATTTTCCATTTTCTATACCAACAGGATGAATGCTGTAGGGGGCAGAGTTAACTCAGGCCAATACAAAGAAAATTAGGATATAAGTGGAAACATGTAGGTAGGGCTTCAACAGATTTACTTTTTTAAAAAGACAGCTTCTATTTCTTCCAAAAGTCTTATCTAGATAAGTTTTAAAGGACCTCTTCCCTGTGCTCCAGCTTTTTAAACACATTTTTTTTTAAATGAAGGGGTTCTAGCAATTCAACATATTTACAAGAACCTTAGACATTTTATCAGCAAATGGCATATACTTAAAACTATAAAAACTCCTATAGCAAAACTTTATTTTTGTTGCATAGCAATACTTGCATGCATGCACCTGTAATAGATTCAAAGCCTCCTTACAAAGTACTAATTTCTAATGCAGAGCTGGGCTGCACACAAGCACTGACCCACTTTTTAGAATGTACCACACCTGACCAAAACAGCAGGCAGGAATTGCCTTGCAGGCTTCAGCTGCTGTCCAGTCAGAGGGCTGTGACTGACACCAGCTCCAGTAGCAGTGCTGGGCCAGGCAGCCAGGTGGGAAGGGAACTGTCACCTGCTTACCCAGCTCAGCCTAATTTGCTTTCTCATCTAGGTATTGACAAAAACACTCAAATGGGCAGATCTTTTTAACCTCCCAGTAACACTGGCCTGTTACAGATTAAATTAATCATCTTTCAAACAGTTTTTAGACTTACCAAAACACCAGCTCCTTCCTAGCTCCCCTAATTCATCAGCCTACAAAGAAAAACCCATTGCAGCAAGCTGTTTTCTCTATGCTGATATACTGGCCATGTCTCCAAGCCTATCTGCTACTACATCCTGGAAGCAGCTGCCTATCATTGACACATGGGTTTGCAAAAGGGAAGGACCAGAGAGGGGAAAATAAAAGAAAGAAAAAAGAGATTTTTTTTTTCCCCCTATAGTGCAATGCCCTACTGAGCCAAGCACAAGGTCAGAATAGTAAAAGTCACTAGATGTGCAGTAGGAAAAAAGTAAGAAAAAAGCTATACTGCTACATTGAGATTTATAAATAATTTGTGCATTGTTTCTTTGTCAAATCCTATGCAGCACAATATGAAACCTTTATACCTTTATCTTCAATTTTTGGACAAGAACTGCAGCTAGAAGTATGAAATGGGAGGGTCAAATCAAAAGTTAAGGGGAAATTTTGGAGTTGGAGGTGCTTCAGATTTCAGGTTATGAACACATCAGACACCTACCTCAG